ATGGATATTAAGCTCTCGAACTTTCAATTGGTGGGGAAATAAACATTTAACTTCCGTTTCATGGGTATATAGACAGAGTTCAAAGATCGGGTTTTATCTGGCCAGATACGATTGTTCTCGAGGGAAAATAGACCGTTTTTCCGAACATGGAAGAGTAAAGTTAGAACCTTTATCTTTTTTTAAGCTTGGAAAATCAAATTTATATTTTAAGAGTAAAGTTTGCAACTTTTTGTAGGAACTAAAAGCGCTTTTGGTTTAATTTAATTATGGGTTAGTGGTTTAATGTCAGAAACCTTATATTTTCTGGTTCTGATTAAGATCATTGTTGATGGCAACTTTGTGTTTAGTTGTTTTCTTCAGGCTTTGGACTTCATTTAGGCCCAATATACAGTAGCCCTGTTTATTGATCGTTTGATTTTTTTGCGCTTCTATAACACTAGATTTTACCCCACGGGTCGATTTTTTTTATAACTAAAAAATTATTTTGCAAAATTTTAAGTTATATTTGTTTTGTTAATATTATTTATTTTGTTTAGTGTTTCTGATTTTATAATTAAATTTTGATTTTTAATTATAAGATTTCATCCATAATATATTATGTAATATTAATATCGATCTAAACCCGTTGCACCATATAACCCTGTCCCGTAAAATTAAACATCATTTGTTATTTTTTTTGAATAATATTTTTATCTACTAAAAGTCGCAGGTTCATGCAGATAAATCCGTAAAGAGTTGCGGATTTGCGTGTCGACCCGCAAAAAGAGAAGCTATCTTTTAAAAACTTTTGTTTTATTTAGAAGTTTTGAGAAAGTATTCCTAAAAAATAATTTTCATTATATGAAAAAAAAAAGTAGAAGAAATTATAATATCAACATTCCCGATTTTTACGTCACTCGTTACTATTAATTTTTTTTTTTTACAGATAAAATTCAGAAATTAACTAAGTCGAGATTTTTAAAAAGATTGTGTAAAGATTTTTGGTAAATTGTTGAGAACATATTTGATTTCAAAATCTTTACTTAAATAGATAAGGAAAGATTTTGTAAAGACTTTTACTAAATATATGAGAAATGAATTTCATTTAAAAAAAATTAAATAAATAAAACAAATCTAAATAATTAATGCTAATGGCATGCCATCGTAAACATATCATTTCAATAGGTCATAATTTGGAAGAAAAACGTATAAACAACAATTGAAATTGAATAAACACACTTTGGTGAGATGTCTTGTTTATTCACCAACAGAACTCACTAACCTGTCGCCTGTCGGTGGACTGACTATTATACATTTCAGGGGAATAAAACAAGGATTACAAGTTTAATACGAAAAACGATAAGCAAGTGAAACTTGTCATGACAAACCAAAAATCACGTTTAAACCTAATCAACGGGAGAGATAGAGATGAGCAAAGTCATCTAGAGACTCCAATATGTGACTCTGATCACCGTTTTCGAGCATCCACAGAA